TTATCGTTTTGTTCGTACGGGTGCTGTGGTCTGTATACCCCATTGAGTTGCCCAAAGGTGTGACACCGGAAAACATGAGATACCTGTGCAACACGTACTTCTTTAACCGCAATAAAGCGATACTACGTCTGGACTACGAGCCCCTCTATGGCCACGAAGAGTCTCAACAAAAGTCGATTCAATACTACAAGAAGTTATATTTATAGACCTTTTTGTATGGACTCATGTGTGTAATGATAACGAATTGTCTGAACAACAAAACATACAATTAAGTGAAACACAGTATATATATCCAGAATATTCTACAATATACACAAAATTTAAACCCCAAAATAAATAGCGATTGTATTTGTCAAGGTAGTAGAAAATAATAAATACTGTATGAAAAAATCGATACTTGTTTTAAAGAGAATTTGTTTTTTATTTTGAATATTTTTTGAGAATTTTTTTCAATATAATATATTATATATTAAGTTCTTTATATTCAAAGTTATTGTAGTTTATTATTATTTTTTATCCATTAAATTTTTCTTCATTGTATTAATTAAATACTAAAACAATCAGTCAATACGTCGGTATGTTTTTCTATCTCAGACAACGAAAAACATGAAATTTTTTGTATTTTTGTTGTTTTTAAAATTATTATTATTATTTAACAGTTATTTGATCATTGAATGCTAATAATTTGTAAATTAGCAATGAACATGTTGTGAGACAATGAATGAACAACAAGTGATGTTTATTATTATAAATTAGCTTTCTATTTGGTTGCAAATAAAATAAATGAATAAATGAATAAATGTCTAAAATAAATATCTATTTATTGAATATCTTAATTATGTGTTTAATATAAAGTTTATCAACAATTTATAAATTTTGCAACAAATCAAAGACCAAAGTTTGTCCGCAATCGCAGCCAAATGTCTGTAATTTAATGAAAACAGATATTATTAATTTGATTGTATAGTAGAAATAAAGGGACAGAGATTGATAAGTTAACATAATTATGATAACTTAGATCCATCTATCATAGATACAAAATACTGTACTAGTTAATTAATTACCAAAAAGTTGTTGTTTCCTTTCCATAAATTCATTGTTAGTAACCTTTGATTAAAAATAATTTTATGTTATAATCAAATGATATGCTTTAAGTTCAAATAGATTGAAATGACAAACCGATTGTTTGAATGTCTGTATTGAACCACTGGTGCCAATGAGTGGTCATTCTTCGTATTATAGATGAATATCTCATTTGAATTATCCAAAGCTATAAAACTTGTTGTATCTGATCCTGATGTCGGTATCCAATTGACGGCAAGTATAGGCGAGTCATTTGAATTGAATACAATTAATGGGTTTTCATTAGTAATTGAGTAGTAATTAATGAAACCATCAGTAAAAGCGACTAAAAAGTTATTGGCTTCCGATATATTGAACTCAATCAGTGATACTTTGGTCCACAAACTATTTATTGGACTCTTTTGGTAAACTTTGGGCAAATTTGTTACTAATTCTTCATGTCTTGTGTGTCTTATAACTAATCCATTATCTGTTCCGCAATAAAAGTTTGACCAATCGTTTGGCTGACATCCAATGGCCGTAATCTTTACTGAATTTGTATCAAAATCAATGTTTTTCAGACAATTTAATGTTGAGATTCTGGTGATCCTATAGTTAGTGGTTTGGGAAACACCTAAATCGTTGATTTCCTCTTTAAAAAATAATTCAAAAATTGATTGTCAAATGGTTTCAATTTACTGTATTTTCATAGATTAAGATACCTTTGACTTCATTAATGGCCCAAATAATGAGAATTCCATTTTCATCGACAGTAACAAAATGTATGGACTCCTCATTGGATTCACTAAGAGTTAACTGTTTGATAGTTATTACAGGACAGTCGTGTTCTCTGGCCGTCAGCGCCGAGTTATATGAAGGCGTCCTCAACACAAACATCTGGTTATCAATAGTTATCTCTTTGTAAGAGTTGGACACTTCGTTCAGATCCCAGAGAGCTAACGATCCGTCAATCATAGCGCCGATCACCAGATGCTGTTCGGCGAAGGCTGTAGTGATATGCGACCGACAAATGAGCACTTTTTCCGGTCTCTCAAACCGCTCCGACATCAGTGACCACATAGTTATCATTGATTTCTCGGTCGAGCCCTCGATTTTGCTCATATTTTGGACACAGAATACGTGCAAAGAGTTGGTAAACGTATGAATGATTGGAGTTTTCTTCGCCAGTGGTAAGCATTTTATTGTCTTTAAATTTGTGGAGAACTGTTCACTCCCTAAATGACAATACATACAAAATATTTGAAAATTTGTTATTTTCATAAATTGTGATTGTGTTTATTAGTAAACTATACAATACCTCGTGGTAAAGCTTTTTTAGTATTTAACGATTGATTAGTGAATTCTGTGTCAAAAATAGCTGTCATAATAAGTTGACTGTTGTTTAAGAACTTTAGTAAATCAAACGGATTTACTTTAGGAATTGGATAATAATTTGACGACAATTTATCGTTTAATTGTCGCTCATCTCCGACTACTAATCGAGTGGCCGAAGGGTTTTGTGTCCATTTGTCTATCATTTCTGTGGTTTCTGTTTGTGTTTCGCATTCTAGGCGTTCAATGGTCTGACACGAGACCTGTTTGGCGTCTCTGCGACCGAATGTCTTAATAAACATATCGTAATTAATTGGTGGTAAGTCAAAGTTTGTCAACTTTATCTTATCCAGTCTTATGACTTCCAACAGCTCTCGGCTACGATTCAACATTTTTGCCCGTTTTTGGTCCACTTCTGAACGCATTTTAGCACTTTTTACAGATTCACTAATTGACTGATAAGTTTTGTCAAAATGTGATTTATCATTGGATTTGTTCGCTATAATATCATATCTTGAATCTATATTAATTGAAACATTTAGTTCGTAACTAAAATATAACTAAAATGCTATTCTCTATTACCTTCTTCTTCTTCCTCTTTTTTCTCCAGATTTATAGGTCTCTTAGGCTCTGATACTTCTTGAGCCTCATCTTCAGACTCCTCTTCTTTGTCTTCTTCGTGTTCGTTGTCTTCTTCTTCTTCTTCTTCGTCGTCGTCTTCAAAGTCTGACTCATAGTCTTCGAAGTCGTCGTCGTAATAGTCTGACTGATAGTCATCATTGGTTTGGTTGTCATTAGAGTTCTGTATGAAGTCCTCGA